CAGAGCATGACATCAACCCCTCTCAGTGTTCTACCAGCTCTTTGACGTTAAATATATTGCAAGATTTAAATTTGTAAACTAACCTCATTATTTTCCAAACCGAATCAAAACAACGAGCGCTATACAAAGTTACCGATAGAAAATATAGTCTCACATAAAAGCATTTAGTAAATAATGCAATGTGCCGAAGGTAAAACATTAAAGAGAACATAAATGCAATAAACTTAGAAATCAGAATACAAAACTCGCTAACTGAATTATCCCTGCAGTTTTACGATGCATTGTTATGTGATGGTTATAAATATCTCTCTAGAACAGATTTGTTATGTTCGTGACAAACACTAGAAACCGTTTGATGTCAGATTTAATTTTAAAATGTTAAAAGACAGAGTTTTACTAAAATTTGATAAACATTTCGAATTATTAACTTATGTAATGTTGACAAAACATCTTAAAAGAATTTGTTCCACGAACAGCAAATGTACAATTACTGACATTTTCTTTAATATCTAATGGGACAAAACGAATCTTTAGACAAGCTCCCTCGGTGATCTCTCAAGCTGAAATATTGGTGGGTGTTTTAATCGTATTTCCCTTGATTTGCCCGCGACTACATAACTCTTATTTCTACACAACTGTGTTCTATGTAAAGCAATCACGAAAATTACAAATCCAATAGAACGAAATAATGAAATTCCAGCCAACTCGGCTATCGTCTCTTTCGAGAACGAAATCAAATTACGAAATTCTCACTTTTTCTCGTCTCTATCATTTAATAACAAATAAAGCTCAAATTTCAAGCCCGAGTCAAAAACAAAAGCTGTTATCGCAAATTGCAAGAGACATGGATACATTTCATATGATCTCCCGTTCACTAACCACGGTTGACTTGGGGATGGCGAGGCGAGCTCGGACCCTGCTCAGTACGTTACTCTAACCCAGCTTTCATCGAGCGATGTATCATCGTAATTGATTTTACATAACACTTCAGCATTGTAGCTGTCGCCCATTCCGACTAACGGCGAGTGTATCCAACTGATTGAATATGATTTTCACTTAGGCTAAAATTCTCTTCACACGCGGGTTTCAACTTGTATACGGGTAATTGTCTCCCTTGTGACAGCGCCCTGTCAACCTGCGCACCGCAGACGTTGCGCACGTCTCTTACAGTTAAGCTTGACGCACGTCGCTGTGTCACCCTACGATCAGACGGACATTTTGTGGTACAACGGCAATCCAGACAGCTATACCGATCTAATTTTAGCGTTGCGTGTGTCAGTTTGGGGTAGAATTTCAAACGGATTGAAAAAACCCGAAAGGGAACCTTGATTCGCATTGGCTTTCTGTGACGGTGGGGGTTGAAGGTCGATCAGTGACCTTGAGTTGGATATTATTTTAAATTTTGGAACGGTTTCAAATAAATTGATATCAGCGTAAAATGTTAGGAATATTTACTTTCGAGCGAGGATATGAACTGTCGTGGCGTATTTTTAATAATTGTGGACTTAAACAGTCGATTTTATCAGAACGTATCGTTTCGTTATGGATTTTTATTTTCTAGTTTTTTGTGTTTTGTGTATCCCTTCAGAATTTATGTCAGACAAGAGGTGGCGACTGTCAAAAACGATTATTGGCTCCGGAGTAGGACAAAAAGAGCAACGTTTTCTTTTGGTGTGACATTTTGGTACACAGTAGGGAATCGGAGTAAATATTGCATAGAAAGTGGTAGGCCTTTCATTGAAGATGAATCTCCTGCATTGCTTATAGTGAGCGTTATTCAGCTCTAAGACGGATCCCAAGTAGTGTACCAAGTTTCAAACTGTAACATCTTTGACTGGAATCATTTAATCTCAAGCTTTGGGTTTTACACATGCTTATATTAAAATAAATGCAAGGGCTGAGTGATATTTAATCGATTTCTCCATAGGAATTATATTATGGTTCTATGGCCTTTTTGACTGAACAAACTCTGTCGGTCTGTCTGTCGGTGAATCAGAATTCGCCCAGGTAAACAGTTTCTGCATGCACCTCTTCACCACTGCAGCAGTCTACGCTGTAAATACATCCACGTGTAGTTTCTGGATAATCCTGTTTTTAATCTAATCTGACTGAGATCACAGGTACAATAAACGATGTCTACCGGTAGACCAGGATACGCTTATCCTTTCCGCGTGCACCTGGTGACAACTGATTTTCAGTTTTCTATTCCAAGTATGTTTTTATGGCTGTTTCTAAACACTCAGTGGTGTTGACGTTGGATATTACATATATTTTAACTGTATAACATTTGTCGGAAAAATGTTTCACAAGTAAATATGAAACTGCTCTCATATCTTCAATACCTGTCTTGTAAAATATTTTCAGAGACCAAGGGAATGGGTCAATTTGGCATCAAAGCTATTTATTTATTTATTTATTTATTTATTTATTTATTTATTTATTTATTTATTTATTTATTTATTTATTTATTTATTTATTTAGACAATAAGAAATTGAAGAAGACATCAAACAATGATCTTTGTCGAGTAAAACGATCGGATTTCAAAATGAATAAAGGAACAAAACAAAGACATAATAATAAAATTGACTTGCAAATGAAGCAATGTTCAAATATACATGGTAGGAAAATCCAGGCTGGGTTTCCTATGTTAGTCATGACGCGACGCGATCTAGTTGGTATCCAATTTGATAAATGGCGCATGCTACAGACTCACAGTGACAGCGCCACATCGTGCAGTTGCTGTTACATGGCGTAATGTGAAGCTTGTCAAGTTCAATGCAGCACACGCTTCTCATATTGTTAGTTTATGAAATATTAAAAGCTTTATTACAAGCACAATTGCTCATGGGTGTTCTACTATCAAACTGTCGGAGATTGTTTCTCGTGTAGTTGAAAGACTATATCGGGCATGGAACGCATCTTTGGTGGATTAAATGGATTTCACCCATTAGCATTAAAGCCGGAGTGTGTTGCTCACGGAAACGGTTTAAAGGAAGTTTCGATAATCTAAAGGTGGCATGATATTGCGCGAACACCCGGTGTCCAGTCTGGTGTCCCGCAGTGACCCAATTACACAGTTTTCGACGCTCAATGGAATATTTTTTGCGGCTGATAATCGAGACCTGATTATTATTTGGCGATGTTTGTTTGTTTGTTTGTTGTTTAACGCCTCTCTCAGCAATATTCAGCGGTCTGTAAATAATCGAATCTGGACCAGACAATCCAGTGATCAACAGCATAAGCATCGATCTACACAACTGGGATACGATGACATGTGTTAACCAAGTTAATGCTTTGGCGTTGATATCAAATATTAACCAGTGAGGCAGGATAAGCTTACCTTTCGGGAACACGTGGTTTCATAACATTTATGGTAGCTACGAATCAAATAATTACATTTTGTTGAAATCACACAATGGGCTTATTTCTTACGAATATGGAAAAATTGTTTTGTCGGGTTTTATTATTAAAAATCACGAACAACTTCAAAAATATTGGTATCACGATATGTTCATACCAAATAATCATAATCGTTAAAATATTTCAATTTATTGATTATCAGATGAAAATACAGTTTTTGTTGGTAAGTATCATGTTGTATCAACACACCTTAATTTTGGATGTCTTTGTTGCACTTGTGTTAATTTAACCAATTAAAAGTCGTTAAAGGAATCCCTCTCACCGTTTTCACATTATTTACATATTTAGAAAATTAAACATTAAACACCAAATATTACTTCGCCATTAAACTTAATAGAAAACATACTTTGTGATTTATTAGGCGCCAGCACAAACAATCGTAGCTGGGAAAATACAGTACACACACGACGTCAAACCGAAAACACAAAAACTTGTTGATATTTATTTTATTATCAGTGATGTAATATCTTGGAATGGCAGGGAACTATTTCGCCTACTCAGTGTTTAAACATCAATAACTACCTCGACCTATACAATTTTATAAATAGCTACTTTTATATTTTCTTGAGAAGGGTGGAAGTTCCTCTGCGAACCTTATAGTCTGTTTGCAGTGAAAACGTACAGATGAATTTCACTTTAAACAAAAAAGTAAATGAAATAAAGTGAAATTTAAGACTGCGAATCCTCATAAATTTGCCTTGCCAACTGAACATTTTAATCTCAGAATTTTATTCATTGTAGGACAAAAGTTGTTTAACAAACGATCATACATTCAAATCGCTGTTATTGCTTTGTATGACAAGGGGGTGAGCGCAGTAGATGGAACAGTGAAACAAATGCACGTACGGTTCGTGATGAGCGTTAACTTAGACCAACTCTACTTGTTCTCGGTGTTTCATTTAATGTGCATACACCCTTGTAATACAAACCAATAATAGCGATTTGAAACTATGATCGTTTGTTAAACAACTTTTATCCTAAGTTGAATAAAATTCTGAGATTTAAATGGTCAGTTTGCAAGGTAAAATTATGAGGATTCGCAATCTTAATTTCATCTTATTCGATTTACTTTTTTGTTTAAATTGACATTCATCGGTACGTTTTCAATGCAAACAGACTATAGATCGTCTATATCATATGTTCACATAGTATAATCAGGTGAACAATTGACTTGCCTATCCTTGTGTTTGTGACCGGTGCCCCAGATGGTAGGACACGACCACCTTTCCACGAACACCTGGTCTTGTTACAACTTCATAGTGAATCATGAACACAATCAAAGTCACACTTATGATTTGACCGGACTTGTTAATCAGCTCTCCTTTCGGCAGATATATCTTGTCAATATCGGGCGGTGGGGTGGCCTAGTGGTTAAAGCGTTCGCTCGTCAGGAATTCGAAGCCCCGGGTTCGATTCCCCACATGGGAATAATGTGTAAAGCCCTTTTCTGGTGTCCCCCGCCGTGATATTGCTGGAATATTGCTAAAAGCGGCATAAAACCCAACTCACTCACTTGTAAAAATCGAAAAGGTTTTGCAGTTATTTTATTTATATTTAAAAGATGCTGTTTTGTTTTCAGATTTGAAGGATGGGAAGGAGAAGGAGGAAGAAGGCTCCCCTAAAGTCAAACAGAGACGAAGCAGAACAAACTTCACCCTAGAACAGTTGAACGAGTTGGAACGTCTATTTGACGAGACCCATTACCCCGACGCCTTCATGAGAGAAGAACTCAGTCAGAGACTTGGGCTGTCAGAAGCACGAGTTCAGGTGAGTGGGTCATTTCTGTCAGGTACTCTGAAACAAATACTGTTTGTCTTTGGCGCTGCTCTTAGCAATATTCCAGCTATATGGCGGCGGACTGAAAATAGTCGGGTCTGGATCAGACAATCCAGTGATTCACATCATGAGCATCGATCTACGGTGGAAAACGATGATTTTCATCAATCGGGGCATGGAACCTGACCACCCGATCCCGTTAGTCGCTTCTTACGACAAGCATGGGTTACTGAAGACAGCATTTTACCGGGTAACATCCGTGATGATTTTGCCTTTGTGTTTCATGTAATTATGCGAGATTCTTCCGTCTGAGGAGTTGGACATTAAAAGATGGGTTCTTTTAGAAACGAACTCACCAACTAAGTGAGTGCATATATTCCGGCCATATCACGGCGGGGGCACAAGAAATGTGCATCACACATTTTACACATATGGGTTACCAAACCCAGGGTCTTGTTCATGATGAACTAATGCCTTAACAACTAAAGGGGTTAAACTAATAAAACTACCGTCACATATGCGTTGAATCCTAATTCAATCGTTGTACTCATTACTATTCGAATAGTATCCCTGACCTTTAACACTTCAAAACTGATAGTGTAGCCTAGTAGTTAAAGCCTTCGCTCGTCACGCCGAAGACCCGGGTTCGATCCGCCACATGTAAGAAGTCAATTTCAAGGTTTCCTATCATGATATTGTTTGTTAATAGTTGAAACCTCACTAACACGCCGGACTACACTCATTCACTCACTCAAAGGCACTAACAACTGACAATATTTCAATCATTACAGATTATGGTGTATGTAGATAGTAATTAGCATAACCAAAACTAGAAATCGATTGTCTACTTTGTATAATTCTGATAATATAGTTTCCTTATCTCAATTCAAAAGAATTAATTTCCAAAGTTGCTCTGTCTTCGATAGATTACACACTTACTGAGATGAAAACATACGCTACTATATAACCCCAAATAGCACAAAAAAGTACATTCGTAATGTTTCTAAAAATCATGAACTGATATTAAAATTATCATGAATGAGTTCAATTTTATGTTTTAAGTAGAGCTACTATTACAACAATTTGCAATTACTTTCAACTGAGGTCAGTAAAACTGTTCAGGTATATAACAGGTTTAAAACATACGTGATCAAAATTCAAACACATGTACGGAACAGAGATTCTGTCTTATCAGTTAAAACCAGGCTACTGACTGCCAAAAACAAACATTAAACCACCTTTCTGGGGACTATGGGGACATACTTCAACCTGCAAGATTCCCAGCTCAGCTGTGTTTAGGCCATCACTTTAACATCACTGAGTATAGGTTATATTAGCCAATGTTAAACAGACACAAAACAATCGAAGTTGTAAACCATTAGTCAATATTATATACTTTGATCATGACTTAATTCCACAGACAGAAGACCGCTATAGTTACGTTACTTTAACACAAAAGCGTCACCGCCATATATGATCCAAATCGATCATAATATTAAACAATTTTTGAAACGCATATGGGCAATCAGAATCATCTATTAGTTAAAATCATGAATCTATATCTTTATAATAATATCCTGTGAGTTTGGTTTTACGCCGCTTTTAGCAATATTCCAGCAATATCACGGCTGGGGACACCAGAAATGAGCTTCACACATTGTACCCATGTGGGGAATCGAACCCGGGTCTTCGGTGTGACGAGTGAACTCTTCAACCACTAGGCTACCCCACCGCCCCTAATATCATGTGATCACGTGTATAAACACTCAGACTGCAATAAACAAACAGACGAAGCGACAAAACCAAGGCTCATTTAAGTCAATTCACCAACCACTTATAGCACCGTGTAGGATTCGCCCTTCTTCTAAACCATCACGAGCTTCATCTAATAATCATTTTTTAAACCTAAAGAAAGGAAATTAGACTTTCCTTTCTTTCTTCATAAAAACTAATGATACAAACTAAGATATGTGAAGGGCTTGGGACGAGAGACGTTGCTACCACTTGAGTCTATTATAACGAAAACAATGGCTACAGTGCATCTCCTCCAAAGGCGGAAGCCGCCAATTATTGTCCATCTGTGTCAGAAACTCAGCAGCTCCCGAAATGCCCTGTTAAATGGGGAAATTATTCCAGTCAATTGACACGAAGAAGGCAATAAGGCCTGAGTATAATTTGATTAATCGTAAGGTTCGCAGATTAAGTGTCTCCTTGAAAAGCAGAGGTAGCGGTCAGTAAATAGAAGACAACTGGCCCTGTCTGCGCGCCTTAATCCAGCCGAAAATAAAGATGGCGGACTTGGGTTAGGATTAGTCTTGGGGAAGTAGTATTTTTAAAATTAAATACATTCGTGGGCAATAAGTTGAAGTTTGAAATTCTCAGTTTACTTTCTTTAGTTTTTTTAAAGGGTATTTATTTCCTGGAGAATCTCAAGCCGTAATTGCAGGCATATCGATGAGCAGATGAAACTGATGTGTGTCAGGAAGTGTATTTATAGCGTGGCTGTGAGTCGAAGGTTTTCTCGGTCTGGGTCTTAGGAATAGGCATAAAGACATATATGAAATATCTGGCGTATATAATATATGATTCATAACACAACTGCTAATTATTTTACGCGTGCCTTGAAATAGATCTCAGTGACTCGAGGAAGTTAGGACGGTCCTGGATCAACATGATATACGTTACGCAGGGGCGGATACAGCTTTTTGAGAAAGGGGGGTGCACACTATTGAGAAAAGGAGGGGCGCACACTTCATTTTCACCCGAGTTTCAATGGTCATTAGACAAACTTTCAGCACAAAAGGGGGGAGTGCGCAACCCTGCCAAAAAAAACAAACCCTGCACCCCCATGTTTGAGTTTAATATTGATTTCAGTTTATTCTAGGAAATAAATATTCCTGCGTTTTCGCAAATTTGAGTAAAAACTTTAACTTCAGTCAAAACTCACACTTAAGTTTGTTTGAAGAAATCGAGACCTGAGCTATCGGCAGTGCGTCATAAGCCTACTCGTTATAACGTATGCTACCAAACACATCACCATCGAATGAAAAATTCTTATTTGTTTATTATTAGCCACCACTAAACATGTCTTGTGTGCGTCAGTTCAGAATATTTAACGCAATATCACCGTTTTCGCTAATTTGGAGTTAGATAAGACACAATAACAGATCTGAAAGTCAAAAGTAATTTTGTTATCTTGTAAGTGTGTAAAAATATTTGTTACTTCTTTAATTGCGTATAACGGTTTGCTTACTATAAACAAATAGCATACCTACGATTATGTATTTCTTAGAGGCGAGGGGCGGTGGGGTAGCCTAGTGGTTAAAGCGTTGGCTCGTCACGCCGAGGACCCGGGTTCGAATCCCCACATGGGTACATTGTGTGAAGCCCATTTCTGGTGTCCCCCCGCCGTGATGTTGCTGGAATATTGCTAAAAGCGGCGTAAAACTAAACTCAGTCAGTCAGTCAGTCTTAGAGGCGAATTATTCTGATGATAATTTAACTGATACAATAAATCGCCGTAATGACTTCAATAGCGAAAATTGCGGCATAACCCAAAAGTCATTCAGTTAAAACATATGTTGATGGTTATGTGTGTTAAAACATACAATCATGCAGGATCAACATTAATTGACAATACAGATATATTCATTTTGATGCATGCTTGTCTTGCGTTCCTCAGTAAAGGAGAACTTCCAGAACATATCTAACTAAAGATTTCATAAATCTTTGCACTCATATATCTTTAAGAATATTTTACTATTTTACTGTAAATTGAATTAGGGTGAAATGATAATGTTACTCAAAGGGGAGTAACTGCTGCGTGGCGAAATTTCAACAGGAAATCTTTTCATGGGAAATTTGTCGTTTCGACTTTCATCCCCGGATGTGATACTTTGATCGCACATGCGTGAGTACGCGACACGTGACTAACACGTGATCGATCAGATAAGCACGTGCAGTCCATGCCCTTCTCATTTCCTTCTTTTGTTAATGCATTTATATTTGATTAACATTGTCAAAACTGGTCTTTTACTCTTGTTCGCTGATGACAATCGCGTCTTGATTCAATGATTAACTCTGCTCTTGGGCCATGTTTAATTCTTTCCGCTTCATTATAATTAGGGTACCATATTTCTCCATTCTGTTATTTCGACCAACATTGGAACATGCAGTACATGTTGGTTGTTGTTTTGTTTACGAGTTGGCAGTATCTCTGTCTTAAACATTTGTGACCACCATATACTACTCAATAGAAATTAAAGAACATCCATTCTGTCATGTGACTGCAATTAAACCGTCATGCTATGACAGATTAACGATAGTCATGTGAAAATAATCCGTCGACCTTGACATATTAAATGTAGTCATGTGACAAAGATCGGGGACTTTTCCAACTGCAGACAAATGAAACTTTGAGAAGTGTAGTTTAAGTCGATGTAAGAACTTTGATTTTCTTAAAATTGAATTGTTTAGAATACGATAATTTATGTAAATACAATAAACAGTTTGTTATTCATCTCAAAGTGACTTTTAACGGGATTCTTGCAAAGAATCCACGTTGATTGTATTTAACCGGTATTAATAATCAAGCAATTGAAATATTATGTTAGTTTGGTTTCGTTCAAACATATTTTATGTATTTAAAGGGACTGGGATAGGAAACAATCTTGCCAACCCTAGACGCCTTCCTTTTTGGTATTATATCGTTCAAGACACTTTAATTGGGCGATTATCGAACAAAGGGTGTTCCCAGTGATGCATCTTTTCAAATAATTAAATATAAATTCAAATACGATGACTTCAGTTTAAAAAGATAAAGTGTTTGGATGTATCAGTATACACAATACATTTTTCCGAAAATGGCTATTTAAACAACGGGATGAATGTGATGTATCTGTTTAAATAAATATAAACACGACGGCTGCAAATGATTGCATATACATGGCAGATATTTTGAAATGTTGTTTTTAAGGGATTGAACATAACCA